TTTAGTTTTAATTCAGTGTAACAGTCTTTTCCCCAAACTAAGCTGTACAGAAGGCTCGGAGAGATTTCGTTTTTACTGTAAGTCCTGTAAGATTGTTTCCATTGTATATATGGATCATGAAAACCCTCCAAAAAAGAATTTAGAAAAGACAGATTTGCTGGAGATATAGAAATTCCCTCCTAATGACTGACAGGATGCAGAACTTCACATAATACAGACAACATATTATATAAAACACAAGAGCAGAAGACAAGGTGGCATATTTGCTTAAAAGCACTTAAAACCAAAACCTCTCCTCAGCTTTAGATTATATCAAACATAAATAGTTCCAAGCTGCCATTATATTGCATCACACAGTGTTCTTTAGTGAACGCATGGTCACCTGGTCTCGCAGGCGATCCGTCTCCTCCTGGTATTCAGCCAGCTGTTTCTTCCACTGCTCCACGCTACCGTTGGCTTCCTGCAGTGCCTCCACCAGTTTGGCATTACTGTCCTGCAGGGTGAAGAGTTCAGCCTCCAGGTTTATCTCACACATGGACCTGAGGAGAAGTCCCAAAAGGTTGGTCTCGATTTGAACGCTCACACAACATCAGTGAATAAAAGTTATTATGGTAGACAAAAAGTTTTCTGATTTACAGGAGAATATCCAGAGTACAGCGCAGGCCTGAAAGCAGCTGTGTAGACACTTGATCTATTTTTACCATCAAAAATACTTATCAGTGTTAAAGGCATCGGTCTGGTTGGATGCTGCAGTCCAGAGAGGCACTGCTGGTGAGGCAAATCAGACGATAAGGAGGTAATGAAGTGAAACATTTATAATATGTTGCACCAGCTGTTTGGAGAAATGTGATAGGTGGTACATTTATTGAATTTTAAAGAGCCTATAAGTGCATGAATTTTTTAATAGATCCTGAGATTGAAACTCACAGTTGTCTGACTTGTATCCTTAATGTCTTTTACCTTTGTGGTTATATATAAAAGTGTCATGTTGCACACGTTTTACAACTAATTAGTCCAACATGGCATCATAAGCTACATTCCAGGGTTAATCATTTTCAGCTTGGGTGTTAAAGTGAAAATATTCCCCAGTGGAATGTAAAAAATAAGGCGGCAGGTGATGTGCTCTCCTTTATGTCAGTGTGGGAAAGTGAGATCCGCTCCTGTCCGCCAGTAAAGGTCAGGATTCAGAGGGGATATTTAATAAACCAGAGAGCATCCTGATGAGACGAGGGGGTTTAGGAGGCTGAGTCTTTGCCATGACGACCAAACTAACAGCGTGGCAACCATAAAACGAGTCATCGTGGCAGAGGAGAGAAAAGCCTGGATAGGTTCATAACAATCATAAAATGAAATGACTGGGGTGATACGATGGAAAGCTGTTAAGGACAAGTGAGGTTTTCTTTTTTTTTTGCTTCAGATGGAAAGTGAGTGATCAATAACTGTAATAACAATAATTATGAGCTGCTAAATTCAGTGGTGGTCAGGCCTGGATAGTCTGAAGTGGACACACATACTAACCCAGACACACAGAGACACAGAGACACACACTTACATAAACTTTTAGGCTCATTCACTGATGCTTTTACAGAATTAGAGCTGTTATATTTCTTAAAAACTGAAAGTAAAACTTAAATCCCACCTGTCCAGCCCCATTTTATAATATAAAAATATAAGGTGATTAGCATTTCTTTGTCTGTTAGTTAGCAGCGTTACACAAAAACTACTGGACGGATTATCATGAAACTTGGGGGAAGGAAATTTTGGTGCAGAACCTTTTCAGGGGGCTGATTCAGGATTTTATTTTGAATTTCTGTAACATTTGAGGATGTTTTTAGACATTTTTGTGGATCTTGATGAAAAAGATCACTCACATTTTAGGAGAGTGATATTTAATATTTATGAGTGTGTAAAGTTAAGTGGAGCTTGTTTGAATTTAAATGTCAGGCTTTGGCAGATGTGTGCACTCTACTGAGTGCCATTCTAGAGCAGAATATAGTTTGTGGGGATGTGTGAGTTACAAACACAGATCTTTTCAGTTTTTCTATTTTCTGCTGTCTGCTCTTTGGTAATGTGCAGCTTTCATATCAGAAAGAAACTCCCTAAGTAGCAATGTGGGCACCAGCTCAGCCATGTGGACAAACAACAGTATGTTAACTGTGACACTACCTAAGAGGCTGTTTTTATACCTGTTTATCTCAAAAACCTGTGAACAGCTTTCAGGGAATTTGTGGAAAGAGTTAAACCGTGAGCCAAAGAACAGATGTTTTTGAAAATCACTTAAATGAAAAAATTATGAAAAAACGATGTGATGCTGATAAACTTCTTTTGTGAACAACAAACTAATAACAAATGTAGAAGAGAGTGAAGCTCTTTAAATACTTTGCAATTCAATGTCTTGTAATAGTCGTTTCCTCCCCTCCACTAACAGAGAACATGGATTTAGCATTTTGAGTGAGTCAGAGCTGAACAAAGTGCTTTGGGCATTTACATCTGCTGATGTTGCCAAGATGAGGATCACACACTGGATTACAACCTTTGTCGTCAACTTTCCAAACTCCAACATATGAAATTTTCCATTTCACTACTCCCCCACACAGACACACACACACAAACACACACACACACAGACACACACACACACACCCAAACCCACACACAGACAGACACACAGACACACACACACCCAAACACACACAGACACACACCCCCACACACAGACACACACAGACCTCTCACTGTTGTTTCATTTTAATATGTATTTTATGCCTATGTGTTTTGAGTGCTATTGTTATGGATTGTTGTTATTATTCTCATGCTGTGTTTGCTGGAGGCTGAATACTCTTCCATAAACAACAGAAGTTCCAAGAATTTATTTTCACAGCACGTTGTCTTTTCTCTCTTTCTTATTTTTATTGTTGGATGATTTTTTTCTTATCTTATCATCAAGTGTAGAGTCTAACATTATACATTTATGATGTGGAATGGAGTGGAATAAACTAAAATATATTTTGCTAAAGCTATCTGTTGGCTCCCTTTAATAAGGACGACAAGAGGTGGATGTGATGAGGCGAATTAAGAACAATGAAAAGCATCGTTGAAATTGTGCCGAGTCTCACAAACTGAAAACTAAACAGAAAAAAAAAGATCATCATCATTTACCCTTCAGACAACATCTTCTTGACCCTCTCCTTCTCTGCCGTCAGCTCCACTTCGGCGCTTTTACTGCGAAACAGCTTCTCCTCGCCCGGCCCATTAACGGTCAGCAGCGGCGGCGAATGTCGCTCCTCCGACAACTCCTAGATCAACGACAGAGGAATCAACAGGATGACATGAGCACTGTTAAACAGTAGAAAAATAAAAAGAGCTGCAAAGATTAAACAATTAATCCATTCAGTTGATAGGAAATTTATCAGCAACTATTTTGATGATCAAATCATTGTCTTGAGTTGAACTTGAAGTTTGCCAATTTGGATCCACAACACAAACATGACTGAGCAGATATCAGAGTTTGGCTCAGAGGTCCCGGCCTCTCGAGCAGTTCACAGACCCGTCAGCGTCTCTGCTGTGAATTCAGACCTGTCATCAGAACAAAATGGACACGACACAGCAGCATGACAGGACAGAGCTCCTGTCAGCGCTCGACACTTTCCCATCTGGGCAAAAAGGATCCACGTCGAGCGAGCAGCCATGTGTGGAGCCCAGCTGCCTTCTTCTCAAACACAGATCTGATTCAACAGATGAATGAACAGCTCCAGCTCTTTCCAAAGGTTCATCCGGGATGTTTGTGCACGTGTAAAATTGTTTGTCATGGCTGTATTATAACATAAGAAATTAAAATCATTTATTTCTATTGAGATTTTTGTCCTTTTTGTCCTTTTCATATCTTTACCGTGCACCTGCTGTTCTAAACAAGATCCTAACAAATTGATGATTCATTTAAAACTACAGAACCTTTAGATCATCATTACCTCCAACAAGATGGTTGATGGATGTTTTCATCTTAATTTCTGTTTGTCTGACTGTTAGTTAGCAGGACTGCACAAAAACTACAGGACAGATCACCACAAAACTTGGTGGAAGGATGTGGTAGGAGTCAGGAAAGAGCCCTTTAGGTTTTGGAGGTATGTGCTCTACTGAGTGTCATTCTAGTTAATACTAAAACTTTTAAGAAGAACTTGCTTGATTTCTGACTTGATCTTCATGAATAATAAGTTGTATTGAGCAGAGACTAGACAGTTTGATTAAAAAAGAACACAACTGATCTTTAGTTGGGACATTTGATGGATTTGCAGAATGTTCTCCTTGCTCTTCGTTCACAGCCTGGTTATTACATTTGAAGGTCAAGTCTTATATTTTTTAAACTTCCATTTGTGCAACACAAGAGCAGCAAAGGTTAAATAAACTGAATGGTGACACAGTATGAGTAGAACAATTCCTCTTCCTCTAGTGTCATAAAGAGACTTTGAAAGTGACATTGCAGAATGCAGATGGCTTGACTCCAGCCTGGAATTGTCAAGTCTAACTAATGTGCTTTGATATTTTCCCTCCCTGCTGCCCAGAAATGAGTTCAAGCTTCCTTTCACAAAGTTTTCTAAACCATTTTCTTCAGTTTGAGGCTGTGTGTGTGTGTGTGTGTGTGTG